GCAAACAATACGTCCACGATTGACCGAACGTCCACGATCTCAAATCATGTACAAAACCAATGAGAGCTGTCGCTAAAAAGTTAGAGTACAAACAAAGGAAAGAGGATTAGGGACATTGGGGCGTCCACGATTGCCGGCATTTACACACGTGGGTGGGTGGGTGTGTCCGGATAAATCTTGTCAGCGCGATAACTTGAGAAATACTTAACATATGAACTTCAAATTTGGTTTGTGTATTCTTGGTAATCCTAAGAAGCCTATTGCATTTGGGGCCGAAATGTCGAGGGTCAAGGTCACAGTGGCTAAAACAATAGAAATTTTGTCAGCGTGATTACTTAAGAAATACTTTACATGTGAACTTCAAATTTGGTTTGTGGATTGTCCTTGGCAATCCTAAGAAGCCTATTGCATTTGGGGCCGAAAGGTCAAGGGTTAATGTCACAGTGGCTAAAGCAAAAGAAATTTTGTCAGCGCGATAACTTGAGAAATACTTTACATGTGAACTTCAAATTTGGTTTGTGGATTGTTCTTGGTAATCTGAAGAAGCCTATTGCATTGGGAGTTGAAAGGTCAAGGGTCAAGGTCACAGTGGCTAAAACAATAGAAATCTTGTATTTATTCTGAGATCATAGGGATTAATTCATATAAAACCTACAGAAAACACTAATGCTGTCAATGAACGTTCCATGTGACCAAGGTACACATGTACATATGTAAGTTGATGTTAAAAGAGTGGTGTTATGTCATGGGAACTGTTACGGTTGCGGGGCATTTGTGTTTGTAAACACACCTGACTTGTTTTTTTTAAGAATTGACATAAATTTATACAAGTTTATACCCAGAAAATGCAACCCTAAAACATTTGTCAAGGTCACTTTTGCTAAAACAATAGAAATCTTCCATTCTGGTTAGGGACACTGAGAAGTATCCATACTAACTGACTGTATAAAAACTGCCAGCATGCTAGGGGGGTCGCACAAGTATCACTTGCAGTATTTTTAAATTCTTGTAAAACCATGTTACAAACCAAATCAACAAAACTATTAAAACATTGTATATATGTTTGATTTTGTCTGCTTTCATTTGTGTGTCTTTGAACAGTGGAAAAACCATCAGTTGTCGGAAAGACTAAAAGGAATGTTGGCCATCTTGAAAATACAAAGCCCTCCTTCCTTTTTTTTGAAAAACCCAGATGCTAAACATGTTTTTTTTTTTGTGTTTTGTTTTTGAGTGGTCGGGCACAACCCGACCACTCTTTGGATTTGTTGCGATTAATCTTTGAGTGGTCGGGCACAACCCGACCACTGTCTAGAATTGTTCCGATTAATCTTTCTTTCTTTCTTTTTTTTTCTTCTTTTTTCCGGACAATACTTCTTCGCGGGTTTACTCCTAAACCGTTCAAGATATAAACTTGTAACTTCGAACACATATCGACCCTGATCCCGAGTAGTGCATATTGTCATGATGACGTCATCAGGTATCAAATTACAAGCAATTTAGTGTTTCTAATTTTTAATCATTACAAATCGATATAAAATCAACCGTGAGAGACCGGAACTTGTTTTTAACGGCAGTCAATAGAATAATACTGGGTCTTCAATTTACTTCATGGGTGTCAAATCATATGACCCTTACTTCCGGTCGAAACCGGTCGAACCCAGAAGTGCCTTGTAATTTAAAAATGGTAAAAGATATGAACGTGCTTTCAATGATGTTAGTCTTTGGCAAGAAAGTACTTTTTGAAACTGAAACCGATGACATCATGAAATATTAGAGCGCCCTCTAGCGGCAGGTTGGAAAATGTCCAAAATGCATTTTGAATAGATGTCTGTGGCGAAGTTTGCTGTAATCTTTTGAAAATTGGTATATATGATGACCTTCATGCAAACAACACATGTCTGAAGTTTGAAGCCGATGACGTCATCAGACCGGAAGTTACAACGAAAAGACTTTTTATTCTTCAAAAATCACTAAAAAATCAATCGTGAGAGACATAATCTTAAATTGTCCATTAAATGATAGATTAAACATTGGCGTCAATTGTGCCAGGTGCATGGCTTGTCAAATTGTTCACACACGTGACCCGCCGCTGACAAAAATACCCTAACGGTAGTCCGTCGCTCAAAAATTCAATGAAAGCGTAGAGCTGGGTGTGCGTGAGTACACTGCATGTACAGGACATTGTACATGTACATGTACATGCATTCAGTGCAGATCCATTATTTCAACATCGTCATGCTTGTTGGAATGGGGCCAAACACGTGGCGCGTAGTCTTGTGCTCAAGACGGTTGCCCTTCTATAACAAATCCCATAGACTTTGTGCACGATTTTTCTCGTCAGCATTTGAGTCATAAAGCACACTCATTATGACATTGAAACTTAACATAGTCAAAGAACATATAGCAAAGGTCGTTGGCGAAGATGGACGCAATGATGATGTCATCATGTGATTTATTATGAAATTTTGAATATTTATTTAAGCCCATTGACTTTGTACACAGTTTTTCCACTTTGTGCCCTTCTTTTTCAAGGGACCTTTTTGGCCACTTTTCAATGGGGCATCTTCATCAAAGTAACACCAAGCAAAGACGGAATGCTAAGATTGTGCCAGAACAATGATGGCATGATGACGTCATCAGGTGTCATGTGACAAGCAATTAAACTTTGATATTTTGTTATCTTTAAAAATCTTTATAAAATCAATAATGAGATCTGTCGTCTTGTTGTTTGCGGCAAGTGATAGAGTAAATTAAGGTCTTTATTTTTTAACGTGTACGTAAAATCACATGACCCTTGCTTCTGGTCGAAACCGGAAGTGACTTATTAATGGCTTATTATTTAAAATTGGTAATAGTTATGAACTTGCTTTCAACGGTGTTAGTCTCTGGCCAGACAATATTCTTCAAAACTTGTACCGGTGACGTCATGAAATTCTCGACCGCCCTCTAGCGGCAGGTTTAAGAATGTCCAAAATGCATTTTGAATAGATGTCTGTAGCGAAGTGTTTTGTAATCACCTGAAAAGTAGTATATATAATGACCTTCATGCAAACAACACATGTGTGAAGTTTGAAGTTGATGACGTCATCAGACCGGAAGTTACAACAAAAAGACCTTCTATTCTTCAAAAATAAATCAATCCTGAGAGATATAATCGTGAATTGCTCATTGAATGATAGCTTAAACATTGGCGTCAATTGTGCCAGGTTCGTGGCTTGTCTAATTGTTCACACACGTGACCCGCCGCCGACAAAAATACCCTTATAGTAGTCCGTCGCTCAAAAATTCAATGAAAGCATAGCGCGTCGCCGCCCTGCCACGGCACAGGGCGCGCGCGCCCGCTGAACGTAGCCTGGCTTTTCGTTTGCTTTTCGCGGGCGTACATGTACATGTCCAGTTATTAGTACGTAGACTCTGAGAAAGTCTGAGGAGAAGTGCTGTTGTCACGCGTGTACGACTAAAATAGATCGCTGCGCGCGTCTTCGTCTTGAAAAAAAGGCAAGACAGAAAAGTGCGCATGCGCAGTTAATGTGTCATAACCGGGGTTAAGCTTGTACACTGCATGCACACTGTGATTCGGAAAGTAGAATGTGTGCACTTACGCTGTTCGTGGTGCGGCATGGAAAGGCATCCTCGTACGAACTCTGAGCTGAGATTTGGCGAATATAAATGTTTGTTTCTGTTTATAAATTTACCTTCGGATAGTAAATATTATTTTGGGTTTTTTTTCACGCAAATGGTATTGGGAGTTCATGCTGAAAACAGCTTACCATTTAAAATGGCTCCAGTTATGATCGGACACATGAATACATGCAAATCAAAGAACATGCATCCTCTCCGAATAACATAAGTATTCACTGCCCATATTCACTTTTTCTACGTTTAAAAAAAATAAACACATACTGACATTGATCACTACCTAAAAGAAACATTTTTAAACAAAATGATTAATTTTATCAGACAGTTTAAATTTCGTTATCCTTTGTACATGTTTTTACATAAAAAAATATTCATAACTTAACTGGAAAGTGTTTCATAAAATAGTTGTCTACCCGACCACTCTGCGTTTGTAACAACAAACGCGAAGCTCTAGTTCTTTCTTTCTTTCTTTTTATTTCTGCATAGCACGTTTCCGCGGGTTTTCTCCTAAACGGTATATGATATGAACTTGTAACTTTTAACATATATTGACCCTCATTCCGAGTGGTGCATGTTACACTGAGGTCATTATGACGTCATCGGGTGTCAAATTACAAGCGATTTTCGTTGAAAAAATGACGATCTCCTTTCATCTATAACTCTTCAACAAACTGATCAATTATGCTCCAACCTTGTAAGCAGATAGACCATAAATTGATAAACATTTTTTGTCCTGTACGTGAACTTGCTTGACCTTTACTTTAGCTGTTTTTATTAGATACACTTAATTTCCATATTTCCATGCGTTATTTTTACTTAATGATAAACAAGTGTCCTCCCTTCCCTTTTTTGACTGATGACGCCATCAAACCGGAAATAACTTGTACGTGTACCCAACTGTTTACTGAAATTTATCATACCTTAAAAGACGCATTCTTTTTGTACAAAATAATTGGTACTGGAAATGTTGAAGTTCTTGGTCCATTTTTTTCTGACATAAACATATTCATAACTTGACTGCACAATGTCTAATGAAATGGTTGTCTACCCGACCACTCTGCGTTTGTAACAACAAACGCGAACCTCTAGTTTGTTTTTGCTTTTTTGTTTTTTTGCTTGGCCTAACATACATCATTTTTACTTCAGTTAGTTATTCCCCCTTTGTCTTGGTAATATTGTTTAATGAACTGTTTTCATCCAACTTGTAAACAAATGATTTTGTTAAGCAAGCGTGTTTGTGTAAATAGGCTGTCCAACTTGTTTGTTTAGCAAAATGGACTATAAACAAGCTCATGTATCATGGACTTGTATTTTGTTTAATTTTGTATTGTTTTGACATTTTGTGTTATATTATTTTAAAGGTGAGAAGATAACTGAAGTTCAGTGTGAAAGTCCAACATTCACAGTAGCATGGCATCCCAAGAGGCATCTGCTGGCATTTGCGTGCGATGATAAAGATAAGTACAACAGAGACAGAGATGCTGGAACCATCAAATTGTTTGGACTTGCCAATGATTCGTCCTAGTGCTCCTTCCATGCTGAAACTTTTTTACTTGGATAATATGCCAGTGAGATGTCATTTGGATAATTGTATTTTTGTCCAAATAACTGAGTTTTGGGCTAAAACGCCTTGAATATTGGGTACGTTTATGCTAAAAAGAAAACCCAGGGCAAAGCACTCAGAATGTAAAATGATGCAAAGAAGTGTAAGGCTAAAAAAGGCTCCGGTTTCTGGTCTGCGCGCCTGTGCGCCATAGCCATGCGCGTCGGTAAAATTAAAAAAAGTTTTTTTACAATGTAAGATGTCTTAAAACTGCCAAACTCACTGGTGTGACTGAAATCCAGCTGCTGCAGTTTTAATGCATTTTTAGATGGGGTTACGATCGAGTATAAGTTTTATGTGGCCTCTCTGGGCTCCCATATATTTTGCATTAGATTCAGTCAGGCGTCATTTGCAGACAGTGTTGTACGTTTGTAATTGTGCTTCCGGAAGCAAGACTGAGGAAGCGAAGGTCGTGTATTTTGAACCTGTAAACGCTTTTTAATAAGAGCTATATATATTAGGGAGCAGACTAATGACAAGCCTGGCAGCACATGCACGGTGTCAATGTCGGTCTGAAGTTACTGTTTTCTCTGATTTTTGTCTTGACTATCTAAATTATCCGAAGAATCGTCGTGTTGGTCGAGATCGTAAGTGGGTGCAGAATTCTCAAGCCTTATGGTCTTACTGAGGTCACCTCAAACTTCACCCTGAAGGATATTTTTGAGAGTTTTAAGGGGATCGAAGCGTCATCTGCAACATCATTGAAGAAAAAGAATAGGAAAAAAAAACAAGCTGCGTCACGCCACACCTCTTTTGGGGCAAGCTCGATACCAAAAACCAAAGACTTTTTTTGTGGCCTAATGCAAGTTATGGAATCGCCAAATGCATATTCCATGCCTTGTGATATACATATAGTTGTAGGTGCAAAGTGCAGTGTAAAGTCAAACAGCAACAACATAGAAAGTATACACATATGTTTTGGCATTGTCTTCTATCAATCATTGTAACTAGTACTCTTTTCTTGCTCAATAGTTGATTGTTATAGAATATGAACCCAAATATTCCATATGTGCATGTACACTTCAGAGACTCTTTCCCAGGTAAAAAGTTAATTATTATTCCCATGCGAAATACATTTGCAAATGCTGTGATATGATTTAAATGCTCTTGATTGTTCAATTCTTCCAGTTACATGCTACTGGCAAACTCTCTGGTCGAGTGGTTAGATGTCTGCAGTTAGTCCAGGGATTGACCACGGAAGCCCCAATTTGGGTCTGAATAGAATGTTTTTGCATGTTCTTGTCATTCTGACCATCTATCAATATTCTGACAGGTGCCTACCATGGCACACTTGTGCATTATTTAAAAAAACAACCCAATTAATATGCAAATTAGCATAAAATAGACCCTCAAAACAGTTCTACACCTCGTTGGATTTGATTGGACAAATTCCTTCAGAGAAAATAGATATATGGTATAACTTTTTCTGATAAATAGCAAGTGCTAATTTGCATAATACAGTGGAACACTGCTATAACGAATACCACGGGATCCACAGAAATTGTTTGTGATAGCAATCATTCGGTATAGCTAGTTTGAGCCGCCGGTATTGTTTAAATACTGTTTGTTTAAGTAGCTCCCTCTTTTTCCCTGCTTGAAGTAGGTTTATTTAATTCCCCTTTTTCACAGTTTTGATGAAAATTCCATCTTATGAAAAGTTTCATTACGGTAACCGCTGCTACATCAGAATCGAACCAGCCAACCGATCCAACTTTCACTGGGGAGGTTACACACTGAGTATACAGTGTTTATATGAAGGGCAAAACCTAATATTAAATGTACATAACCCTGACGCAAATTCCATCTTTGGTGGTTTCACATTCGGGTTTTAATTTAATAATTAAAAGGGGCCATATCGTAAGTCCGATACCTCGTAAGTCGGAAATTTCAGAATTATGAGGCATCAGATGTATGAGGCATCGGACTTATGTATATGAGCTATGAGGCGTCATAGCTCTGAGGCCTCCTAAGTCTGACACCTTGTAAATCCGACATCGGACAAATGAGGCATCGGACCTGCAAGGCGTCAGAGCTATGAGGCATTGGACCTATTGGACGTCGGACCTATGGGGTGTCAGACCTATGAGGCGTCAGACTTATGGACCTTTATTTGGTTGGGGGATGAGATTTTGTCGGACTTAAGAGGCATCAGACTTATGAGCGGACCCCAATTAAAACTGGCTAAATAATGTTTGATACATGTATAACTGGTAGAGTTTTTAATCTGTTGACTTTTTTGATCAATGAGGTTTGGTACCTTTTGTATACAAAAAACTGGGAGCCAAGGGTGATGTTTGATATACTAAATGTTCGGTAAAGCAGCGTATGCATAAAATACATACAGCATCAGTGTAGAAATGGCTTCCATAAATAAGTTAACCTTAAGAATATGGGTTTAAACACCTCGTTTGATACGATTAGACACATTCTTGCAGAGATAAGTTGGACGAAATCCTATAGAAAATTATATTTTACATTATGGTGGTAGCTAATTTGCATATTAATTGTTTAAAAAAAAACTGCCCATGGGCACCAATCGGAATGTTGATCTACACGGTCTAAATGACAAGAAAACACAAAAACAGTTTGAGCAGACCCTAATGCATGGTCCTCCTCCAAATAGGGGTTTGACACCCGGACTAAATACCAGCAGGTGGTTGTGGGGTCAAATCCTATCGAAGTTGTTTGCGATTTTTTTCTAACAATCATTCAGGACAACACAGAGTATTCAGTGTTTATAACAAAGACGTCGGTGAACTTGTCCATTTTCAACACAGTGTGTCAAATATTCATACAGTCCACACTGTTCTGTTGCTGTTGGCTATGGAAAGCCCTGCTGGATAGAAGGGACATATTTCTGTACACATACATTGTCTTTTTCAAAATGACATCATGCCAGAAGGAATAATTTCACATGCAGTTGAGTGTCATTACTATCTTGAAACCAAGTAAGCCTTTTAACAATAATGTGGTCAGAGACTCGACACTCTACATTTAAGAAGAGTGCATAACAAATGGATAGTTCAAGTTGCAGCTCAGTAGATACTACACCGGGTACATTAAAAAAAAAAAACAATGTAATGTATGCACAATTTTTGAGGTCTAGTAACTGGTTGCTAACACATGTTGAACCACAGACACCAATGGGCAAACTTTCTTAAACCACCTTCGATGATTGTTTACTTCTGAATGATACCATTCAAGGCAGAATTTTCAGTGTATTTTGTACCAGTCCTATCTTCACTTGGAACAAAGATTTTCTCATGAAATCAGAAGATATATTTCTGGGTATTTTTGAATGTTTCTATGTGCCTTAAATGCCAGTGTTTATTAAATTAAATGAAATCAGTCAAATATTCTACATCATCATGTGTTCCTTTGAGGTGGCCATATTAAGTTTTATCGATCAAAATATTCTTTTATCCCACACATAAAATCCAATATTATTATCAGGCTGACTTGATCAGCAAGAAATAAATTTCAGGACACTTTTCTTTATTTCTCAAATTCCCTTGAATATTCTTTGTGTATTTACAACCAAAGTAAATGTCGCGATTCTCGAAGCTGCCATTGTGGTTGTGGACAACAGAGAGCGTATACCCTGCTGCGTGCTCTTTCCAGGTGTGATGCTGCTGAGTGCTACACTCTGTTGACTGGTTGACAACTGTGATTTTCTGTGCTCTTGATTGTGTGGGAACCAGGGAAATTTATTGAAATGATCGGATGAGGACAATATCAAAAATAATATTGTCCTCATCCGGATACTTTTAGTAACATAATATTGCTGTCATTTGGGTACTTGTTACATAAGCATACGATATGCCAATTTATTTTTACCACTGGAATCCTGATATAAATAATTTTCCCTACATGTATATCATAGCAGATATTGCTCTTTGCACATGGCGCCATTTTAACATGTACAATGTAGTAGGATTACCACTAAAAAAAATGATATAATGGATGGCGAAATAAAGGAGAATGGAGAGGAGACTTCTGGCTTCCGACAGAGTTTATGAATGAGTGGATTATTCCGGAGTGTGCATGCGCATACGTACACGCTACCATAAAATAGTTACCATTACTATACCTCATACATATTCATGACTGAGAGCCAAACTTTCACTGGTCAATTCACCATCACGTGCCAGATGTTATTCTTGCCGTTTACCAAACGCGCACAAGGATTTACGCACAGGCTAAATACGCATGCGCAGTAGACTGTCACTACGCATGCGCTTTAAAACCAATCAAGGAACTGTCGCACGGGTGTAGTACGCACACGCGAACATCGTCGAAAAGAGAGATGCTTGGTGGCACGGTTCGCGTAAATTCATGAAATTATATAATTGCCGGACTGAACAAAATTTATGGGACATTAAAGACGTCTCCTGTTCAAGAGAAAGTTGTACACAAACAACTGTATTTACAACTGTAGTTGCTGTATTGCAAATGAATCGAACTAGTGAACTTAACGCAACAATATTGTTTTGGTGAGCTATACAAGTTTCTCCGAAAATTTTGTTTTAGGTGCATGATTAGACATAAAAAAATTGGCAACTGAATATGCATGAGGTATAGTAAAACAAATACAACATGGTTTATTTCGGGTGGACAGTCGATATTAGCTCCCCTCGGTATTGGAAGTTGACAAACTAGTTCCCTCGGCTTCGCCTCGGGAACTATTTTGTCAACTTCCAACACCTCGGGGAGCGAATATCGACTGTCCACCCTCAAACCATGTTATATTTGTATATTACTTCATCTCCCCTTTTTAGAGATGTAATTTACATTATTATGTGATATAAGTATGAAAGCTATGCATAATATTATCCCTCATAACTATAAATGTCCCGTGCTAGACATGACATGCACATTGTCTGAGTAAGCAGCCCTTCTTTTGAAGTAACACTTGGAACAATTTTGACACTCACTGTTTTTTTACACCCTGTTCAACCTTTTTTCCCCCTATACAATACTATAAGAAACCCTAAACACTTTATTGCTACATGTGCATGTGTCGCGCATGGCCTCATGTTTGACGATGACCTGTCTGCCTTTGAATATGACACCGCAGATTTTTTTTTGGGGGGGGTTTCATCTTTTTTTTTTGTCCCACGATTTGACTGTGGCAGTATGTACATGTACCTGTATGTTGCCTGTTTTTGAGTGGTATAAAAGGGTTGTAAATAGCGCCACCAATGTCAAAATAGTCCGTCCCTGTCCCTGTCCCCCCCCCCCAAAAAAAAAAAATTGCCAAAAATTTTGGGCAACATTTGTTTGAAAAAATTCAAACTTTAAGAAGTTTGAATTTTTTATATGAAAAAAATGAGTCATTGCAGGCGCGGTGGACCACTTTCTATCGGCTTGTTGCAAATCCAATTAACGCCTTGTGGTCCGTGTACACGATGAAGTTGTTTTGGAACAGGTAGGTGTAGAACCAGGTAATCCCAAATACGAGCGTGAGGATTTCTCACTCAATATTCAAGTAGTTTGCCTGCGCACTAGTTTGAGTGATGTTGGCTCAGCTGCACTGTCATGTTTGTTACCATGATGCTCAGTTCTGGCTTGGAATATTCGATCATCATCAGCAGTCTCCAAATCCAGCTATGAGCCATCCACGTCAACCGATCAGTCGAGATGAGCCACAGGGCAGGGGCTGACAGAGCATGGTCAGCCTCAAGCTGTCGCACCCATTATTTTTTTGCTCGCGACCCGAGCTGTCCCGACTTTTTAGCCTCTAATCTTGCGCATCTTTTGATAAAATGCGGACCACAGGCAGTGAAAAATTTTCGGCGCTATGCGCCATGAAAACTGAATTTCCCAATATACACACATGTAGTGTACACATAGCAGAATTACCTTTCGAGCATATGAATAATTAATTAGCAATAATTCCAAAACCCTGTGACCTATAGTCATGAATTTCTTGGATACATTCGTGTTAAGTTGTTCTATGCATGTACCGAGTTTCATAATTTTTCGTCACTCGATGGCTGAGATCATGGAGGGGGGGGGGAGGCAGAATCCATGTGAGATGGTCAAAATAGCCTGGCCCTTTTAGGGTAAAAGTCAGATTTTTCCATGTTTTCTTCTGCAAAACTTCTTCAAAGATAAAAATCAATGTTTTAACTATATTGCTCTGACCTCCGTCATCTTAACCCCGTCTTATTGAGCTGGTAATCCCAAAACAAAATCAAGGGAAAAGGGGAGAAAGGAACAAGCTGGTAAGCTCAATAGGTGTTTAACATAAGTTGACATAGCCTGTGTTACATGTGAATTTCAACTTCAGGAGTAAAAAATCAGCCAAAAACTTGTAGTATCGCATTTGAAAACAGCATGGTACAAACATTTTACAAAAACAAACAACTGTAAATGGACATATTAAGAATTAATTACATCAACATCTTGTTTTATTTGCTTCAACACTTACAGATTGACAATGGTGAAGTATTTCAGTACATACACAATTTCATAACAATTTCTAAATATTAAATTGCAACCATTATGTAGAACAACTTGTGACATTGGTCATGCAAATGACACACATCACTAACTTCTTCTTTTTTTCTTCTGTTTTGGATATAGAATTGTTTTTCGCAATGGAAAGACCAAAAGTTCAATCAACATTAACAGTACCACTATCTGACCACCATAGGCAGCAGAAGGAAAGTGGTAGGGTGCTTACTGCACACCCACATGTTTTGAAAATACGTACATGTAGAGCTCAGCTGCCCATCCAGAACAATTAAAACATACAAAAATGCTGAATTTAACAAACGATGTTGGGAGGAACACTTAAACATCAGAACATTACAACTTACTTCATGTGTGGTATTAATTTTGTAAATCTGGCCTTTGCAATATTAGATATTCTAGTGAATCTTGTGAATTAGTCAATCTCAGAATAATTTGTACACTTTTCCTATTTAAATTCTCTGCTCATTGTGTACATGATGTAAACATAAGTCTAAGAATTTCAAAGTACCACTTGTGATGAAATACTATAGTCTCTGTTTGTTTGGGTTTTTTTTTTCAATAAAAAAGAAAACATTTCTTGATCTAAAGAAAAGAATCTCAACTTAAAGCCGTATCGATATTGTGGGTAATTCATTCACCATTGATGAAATCACAATATCCTGGTAAACAATTGTAGTTTGAAAAGGGGTATGATGCTTTGATGACTTTTTGACACAACTGCAGACCACTGTTTAATACTGAGGTTATTCTCTTGTGTATGAAACAAGTTCAGGTGTATGGATTTTTCTTATGTGAGCAAATAGTTGTTTTCATGTGTACATAACATTACTTTTTGATACATTTATCTTCTGTTGATGCCATTTATCCATAGATACATCAATTTGTTTTTACCCCGAACAATTAAGAACATGTTTCAATCAATCAGAACAGATCTTTTTAACAACAAAGTTACATATATGTTGCAATACCTTTCACAGCAAATTTTCAATGGTGACTGCTTTTTGGGAAACTGTTTCATAGGAGGGGTGTGCCACAGAAGTTTGTAGTCCTTGTTCATTAAGCCCAACACAGTGGGTTTTTTTTTTTGGGGGGGGGGGGGGAGTTTCATGAATGTGCCAAAATCCAGTACTGTTGCTGTACTAACCAACTAATGACACATTCTAAAAATATAACCATAACTGGTGATTTCCCCTCCCATAACAGTGGCTTAACTGCGCAATTCTGAATTCATCCACTTGATTGCTTATAGTGTTGGGTTTTGGAGGATTTTATTAAGGTCATGGTACCTAATGTCAGTTGTGCTACTATGAGCCACACATCCCCTTTATCGTTCAGCATATGAGGTAATAATTTGAGAATTATCGTGATCATCAATTATCAATTTGAGAATTATCAGATGGCTAATTCAGTAACTAAAATTGTTATATCGTGTGCTTGGACACTGTAATTTCATTGGTCTAGGACGGCCACGTGTTTGGACAATAACAATGCACGTCACACACTAAGGGTGATATCGCACTGCGTTTATCACGCGCATTGCATACGCAAGTGGAACCTGACAGTGTGCTAGCTTCAAGCAATGAGAACTGCAATGTCAAATGCCTGGTCTCATGTCTGGCAGGACATCAAAATCTGCAGTTATCAAAGGTATTTATTTCTCAGACAGTAAGTTACAGCCATTTATCTTTTTGAGTTATTGGCACGATATATCAAAACAATTGTTGACTGCTGTGATATAGAATGTGCCGTTTTAATCCTCTTGGGGCACACAGTACCCTTTGCTTCACCTCAGGTGCCATGCGCCCCTCAGGTGTAAAAAGGTCATATCCCACATGACATCACAGCAGTCAACAATTGTTAAATGTATTCAATTTTACACCGGGAGAAAAAAAGTCCACACTCATTGGAGGGGTCATAATTGGCTTTTTCACAAAATTTGTGAAAAAGCCTTTCTTTTTGTTATAATTTTGTTTTCTTTTTTTCTCTCTCTTTTTGTATGTGGGTAGACTGGGATTTTCACAAAATTTGTGAAAAAGCCTTTCTTTTTGTTATAATTTTGTTTTCTTTTTTTCTCTCTCTTTTTGTATGTGGGTAGACTGGGATGTGCTATAGCACATTTGTGAAAAACATAAGGTGTCATCATGATGACGTCATCGTGCGATTTTATATGAATTTTTGAATTTTTCGATCGTTAAGCCATATCTCACGAACCCAACATGCAAAATTCAAAATTCTTTTTGTACTTGGTTTGTTTGGTAATAGGTACTTGCACAAAATTTTGAAAAATGTGTGACATCATCATGACGTCATCAAAAATGTGATTTTTCAAAACACGTATAATGAAAGATCCATTTATGATTTTTTCAATATTTATAATTTTATTCTGCTTCCAAAATTGCACACTTTCTTTCATCGGATTGACTTTAAATTTGGTTCACACCAAGACCACAATGACAAAATGTGCATAGAGAAAGGTTCTCAAGATGACGTCATCGCAGGGCATGTGACGTCATGTGATAAAATTATATTTTTGGAATTATTCTAAGCATTTTGAACAACCTTTAACTGTATCAAAAGCACTCTAAAAAGTGACTACAAAAGGACCAACATGACATAAACATGAGTAAAATGAGAAAATGCCCTATGTTCTGTTTTCAAACAGACATACATGTAGACCTCTAGTTTGAACCTGATTGTCCTATGATACCGGTATGTTAGCTATATTTTGATACTCCGTTTGCTACCAAAGACTGTAAATCATCAAACACTGACAATGGTTCATGAAAAATGGTACAGCGTGAAAAGTTGCAAATCTAAAGAGTACACGAGTGGAAATTGCTGTGTGACAATGTCACACTGCCTGAAATGAATGGCAGGGAATACGCATCGCAGTGCTTGCATGCATGCAAGCACGCGAATTGAATTACCCGCACTTTGTTCGAGCACTGTGCAGTCAATAGGGCCCAATTACGGGCATGTGTGGTTATGCTTAGCGTAATCTTATTAAATTTGCAACTATTCAAACTGCATCATTTTTCATATCTGTTGTCAATCTTTGAAGATTTACAGTACTTGGTAGCAAACAGGGTATCAAAATGAAGCTTACAAAATTCCCCAATAAATGATGTCATCATCAGACGATCACAAAAATTATGACCCCTCCGATGGGTGTGGACTTTCTTTGTTGGCGATGTTTAATAATATATTGTGAAATAAAGCCCCATTACAGGATATTTCATGACACATTTGAAGAAGCTTAATATGCAGTATTTTCGTATTAAAGAAAAATAGTGTCAGCACCAACAAGAAAATGGAGTGTTGTTTGCACTTACAGAACGTCAGTCATCATCTAAAATAGTTCTCCCCGTTTGATGTAGATATCTCCATATGCAATTGTTTGCCAAATCACAATCAAGTTTGAAGCAGCAAACTCTGTAATCAAAGAAATAAAACTCAACTAATTAATAAGTTGCAATAAGACATTAAAAAACAGCACTGTAATCACAACAGGCGCGGATCCAGAAGGGAAGGGGTCCAAACACTCCCCCCCCCCCCCAGCCGTCCGCTCTTACACCAACAAAAAAATAACACTTATAGTAATTAGAGCACTTGCGCTTCACAAATTTCAGCGGTGGTCAGTAATGTCACCAGATAATTAGTATTGTGACCAGTACGTGAACATTGACCTTAGTGTGGAAATAGTGTGTATCTGGTAGTTCAGAGATTTTGTCACAATGCATGCATTTTGACAAAATCCTTTATACTTGGCAAACTGTGCTGCTTCTCATGATTCAAGTTAGTTTCTTTTACAAGTTACACTGTCCTGTGTAGTTTATTATGCTATCTCCAACAGCTTTCACAGTTGTTGGCATATTTGCTCTGTCTTTACACTCAATCAGCCCCCCCCCCCCCCCCCGGCAATTAAAACACATTGCAAAAGTTGGGATCCTGAGCAGTATCCTAGCACTAATTATTCATAGATAGGACCAATCACAGCCAAGAGATTGGACCAATTGCAGCCAAGAGTTTTGACCAATTACAGCCAGGAGTTTTGACCAATCAGACGAAAGATTGAAGCACTAATAATAAGCAACAGTGGAACAATGCATGCACATGTACTGTGTGGGTCATTCTGTCACAGCTTTTTGAGCAAGCTGGATCAATTTGCCCACCACCACCCCAGCTCCTGCCTTCTCTTGCAGGTTTTATTTTAAAGTGGCATTTTAGCAGAATTCGAAGACAGCCATCTCCTAATACATACATAATTGAACTGTACCATTATTGTTATGGTTATTGTCACAAGTTAATATTGTTACGGATATTGATGTGTGTTATAACACACTGTGATGTGAACTTTGTGAAGCCCGGTTCATACTTGGCACGAAAGCGAAAGCGTACGTGAATTTCTGACGTCACGGCAAGTATTCGCGCTGCAAATTCGTTAAAGTTGAACATATTTCAAATCAGGCGAATTTCGCAGCGAATGTTGCATGACGTCAAATTCGCTTCGCATTCGCTTTCGCATGAAGTATGAACTAATTTGAAATAATTTGGTTCTCGCATGATTATGGGCCTGGGTGCCCATGCATTAGTGATTGGCCTGGGTGCCAAATGGTAATTGATGTATATTTGACCTGGGTGTCCATCGATTGTGTGGTTGATATGTTTGGGCCTGGTAGCCCTTTAGACCTGGGTGTCCATCGATTGTGTGGTTGATATGTTTGGGCCTGGTAGCCCATTGGACCTGCGTGTCCATCGATTGTGTGGTTGATATGTTTGGGCCTGGTAGCTCATTGGACCTGCGTGTCCATTGATTGTGTGGTTGATATGTTTGGGCCTGGTAGCCCATTGGACCTGGGTGTCCATTGATTGTGTTTTTGATATGTTTGAGCCTGGTAGCCCTTTAGACCTGGGTGTCCATCGATTGTGTGGTTGATATGTTTGGGCCTGGTAGCCCATTGGACCTGGGTGTCCATCGATTGTGTGGTTGATATGTTTGGGCCTGGTAGCCATTGGACCTGGGTGTCCATTGATTGTGTGGTTGATATGTTTGGGCCTGGTAGCCATTGGACCTGGGTGTCCATTGATTGTGTGGTTGATATGTTTGGGCCTGGTAGCCCATTGGACCTGCGTGTCCATTGATTGTGTGGTTGATATGTTTGAGCCTGGTAGCTAGCCCATGGGACCTGGGTGTCCATTGATTGTGTGGTTGATATGTTTGGGCCTGGTAGCCCATTGGACCTGGGTATCCATTGATTGTGTGGTTGATATGTTTGGGCCTGGTAGCCCATTTGACCTGCGTGTCCATTGATTGTGTGGTTGATATGTTTGGGCCTGGTAGCCCATTGGACCTGGGTGTCCATTGATTGTGTGGTTGATATGTTTGGGCCTGGTAGCCATTGGACCTGGGTGTCCATTGATTGTGTGGTTGATATGTTTGGGCCTGGTAGCCATTGGACCTGGGTGTCCATTGATTGTGTGGTTGATATGTTTGGGCCTGGTAGCCATTGGACCTGGGTGTCCATTGATTGTGTGGTTGATATGTTTGGGCCTGGTAGCCATTGGACCTGGGTGTCCATTGATTGTGTGGTTGATATGTTTGGGCCTGGTAGCTAGCCCATTGGACCTGGGTGTCCATTGATTGTGTGGTTGATATGTTTGGGCCTGGTAGCTAGCCCATTGGACCTGGGTGTCCATTGATTGTGTGGTTGATATGTTTGGGCCTGGTAGCCCATTGGACCTGGGTGTCCATTGATTGTGTGGTTGATATGTTTGGGCCTGGTAGCCCATTGGACCTGGGTGTCCATCGATTGTGTGGTTGATATGTTTGGGCCTGGTAGCCCATTGGACTTGGATGTCCCTTGATTGTGTGGTTGATATGTTTGGGCCTGGTAGCCCATTGGACCTGGGTGTCCATCGATTGTGTGGTTGATATGTTTGGGCCTGGTAGCCCATTGGACTTGGATGTCCATTGATTGTGTGGTTGATATGTTTGGGCCTGGTAGCCCATTGGACCTGCGTGTCCATTGATTGTGTGGTTGATATGTTTGAGCCTGGTAGCTAGCCCATTGGACCTGGGTGTCCATTGATTGTGTGGTTGATATGTTTGGGCCTGGTAGCCCTTTAGACCTGGGTGTCCATCGATTGTGTGGTTGATATGTTTGGGCCTGGTAGCCCATTGGACCTGCGTGTCCATCGATTGTGTGGTTGATATGTTTGGGCCTGGTAGCTCATTGGACCTGCGTGTCCATTGATTGTGTGGTTGATATGTTTGGGCCTGGTAGCCCATTGGACCTGCGTGTCCATTGATTGTGTTTTTGATATGTTTGAGCCTGGTAGCCATTGGACCTGGGTGTCCATTGATTGTGTGGTTGATATGTTTGGGCCTGGTAGCCCATTGGACCTGGGTGTCCATCGATTGTGTGGTTGATATGTTTGGGCCTGGTAGCCATTGGACCTGGGTGTCCATTGATTGTGTGGTTGATATGTTTCGGCCTGGTAGCTAGCCCATTGGACCTGGGTGTCCATTGAATGTGTGGTTGATATGTTTGGGCCTGGTAGCTAGCCCATTGGACCTGGGTGTCCATTGATTGTGTGGTTGATATGTTTGGGCCTGGTAGCCCATTGGACCTGGGTGTCCATTGATTGTGTGGTTGATATGTTCGGGCCTGGTAGCCCATTGGACCTGGGTGTCCATTGATTGTGTGGTTGATATGTTCGGGCCTGGTAGCCCATTGGACCTGGGTGTCCATTGATTGTGTGGTTGATATGTTTGGGCCTGGTAGCCCATTGGACCTGGGTGTCCATTGATTGTGTGGTTGATATGTTTGGGCCTGGTAGCCCATTGGACCTGGGTGTCCATTGATTGTGTGGTTGATATGTTTGGGCCTGGTAGCCCATTGGACCTGGGTGTCCATCGATTGTGTGGTTGATATGTTTGGGCCTGGTAGCCCATTGGACTTGGATGTCCATTGATTGTGTGGTTGATTTGTTTGGGCCTGGTAGCCCATTGGACCTGCGTGTCCATTGATTGTGTGGTTGATATGTTTGAGCCTGGTAGCTAGCCCATTGGACCTGGGTGTCCATTGATTGTGTGGTTGATATGTTTGGGCCTGGTAGCCCATTGGACCTGGGTATCCATTGATTGTGTGGTTGATATGTTTGGGCCTGGTAGCTAGCCCATTGGACCTGGGTGTCCATTGATTGTGTGGTTGATATGTTTGGGCCTGGTAGCCCATTGGACTTGGATGTCCATTGATTGTGTGGTTGATATGTTTGGGCCTGGTAGCCCATTGGACCTGCGTGTCCCTTGATTGTGTGGTTGATATGTTTGAGCCTGGTAGCTAGCCCATGGAACCTGGGTGTCCATTGATTGTGTGGTTGATATGTTTGGGCCTGGTAGCCCATTGGACCTGGGTATCCATTGATTGTGTGGTTGATATGTTTGAGCCTGGTAGCCTATTGGACCTGGGTGTCCATTGATTGTGTGGTTGATATGTTTTGGCCTGGTAGCCATTGGACCTGGGTGTCCATTGATTGTGTGGTTGATATGTTTGGGCCTGGTAGCCCATTGGACCAGGGTGTCCATCGATTGTGTGGTTGATATGTTTGGGCCTGGTAGCCCATTGGATCTGCGTGTCCATTGATTGTGTGGTTGATATGTTTGGGCCTGGTAGCCCATAAGCATGTGTGGTATGTTGGACACTTAACCATTATTGCTTCGTCCTTCGGATGGGATGTTAAGCCGTAGGTCCCGTGTGTTGCATAAATGCACGTAAAAGAACCCAGAAACACTTATCGCTAAGAGAATTAAGGGGTTTGCCCCGGTGTTTCTGGCCTCCTGTATAAACTCCCACGTGGAGTATTTAGGAGAAGAAACAACCAAGAACCAAGTCATATGTTGGAATCATTACAACAAACGTGAGAAAAGAGCTATTTTCCTACATTTGTCAGAAAATGACCACTACTGACCACTAAGTGACCTTTGACCCAAATCTGCCTATATAGGGCTTGGACCAGGAAACTCCTAACCAAATTCGGTTAAAATCGACTGAACAGTGCGGCAGATGTAGCCTCTCTTTGATTTTCACCGAATGATCGCTAGTGACCAATTGGTGACCTTTGGCCAAATTCTGTGTACACTCCCAGTATTCTGTATTCAGTTGTATCCCTGGACCGAGCCCAGGGGTGTGAGTGACCTCTGACAAAAATAGCTGAAAACAGCTGAACAAGGTGTAAAAAAAGCTGAACTTTGGAAATCTCCTATACTTTTGTACACAGCAAGGGAGGGAAAATAGCTGAAATCCAAAACAAAAAAAGCTGAAATCAGCTATAAAGCTGAGATTTCACACCCCTGCGAGCCCCATTTATAGATAAGGGGCTTGGTCTGGGGATGCCACTGACCTAGTTTGGTTGTCACTGGATGAAGACTGGGCGAATTTGTAAATTTCAATAAAATAACCCCTAGTGACCACAAAGTGACCTTTGGCCTCGATCTGACCACACCCCATGGGTCATTGGTCAAACAAGCTTGGTTGAAATTGGCCAAAGTGTTTGGCAGTTGAACTATTTAAAGCTAACGGTGAGAAAGAAGGAGACGACAACCACGAAGAAGCTTTCAGTGCGCTTCGCACGGCTGATAAAATATAGGTTTTCCCGGCCAATTTCCAAATTTTTCTAATCATTTTCATTATCAGCCATTCAATTTCGGGTGAGATTTGCACCCGATTTGTCTTAGGGACTATAAAATGCGATAGATTGCTTCTTTTTGATTGTTGAATGACGATCTGCGTGATCTTTCAATATCAATCTAAATGGAATGGCGCTAAATTGAATGAAAACTTGGTGAAATTGGCAGGTAAAACCTATAATAAAAAAGATGACATTCTGCAGGGGTTATAATCTGTACCTGATGAGCCTGACCCCCTTCCTCCCCCCCCCCCCTGCAAAATTCCTGGATCCACTGTGGCACAAAAATGCCTTGTACCTGGATCACCATTGCAATTATCAATCCTTCAGGATCTGGCAATAAAAAGGAAATCAAATTTATTTGTAAAGTAGTATAGGTCTTCCCAGCCAATTTCACCAAGTTTTCATTCAATTTAGCACCTGGCACATTCAATTTAGATTGAAATTGAAATATCACGCAGATCGTCATTCGACAATCAAAAAGAATCATTCTATTTTACTATCAGAACATTCTATTGCCTTAAAGCTTCACTCGAGAACAGTTAAAGTTTAAAGGACTTATTTAAATTTGAAAACAAGTATAGAAAAGATCAACAGTGAAAGAGAAATTCCTTAGCCCTTTTCATTTCATTATTTCGTGTCGTCATCCCTCATATCAGTTGATTTGTTACATAATAAATTTTACAGACATAAAGATTTTGAAAAAAACAAATTGACCTCAGAAGAAAATAGGAAAAATATCCTTTAAAACATTTTACTATAATTTGAATGACCAATCGATGAAAATGACTGCCCATAACGAATAAGAAAAAAACGTGGTCATACTCATATGCCCAGCGACGTCCGCTAATTTGAATGCATTAGCCGTCAAAAGATGTCAAAAACTTAACATACAGAATGCTGCAAATTAAGTTTTGAATGCACCAAAACAAATATAATGCAGCAAAACGAAAATGAACATTAGGAACAAAATCTTGAGTGCCAAAAAATGAAATTCAATGCCCAAACAATGAAAAAGCTGTCTTTTATAAATGTGCAGGCACAGTTGTACAACAGGATAAAATCAAAGATCACAGACAAACAATGCAATTTCTAATTCTAATTGGCAATGAATAAAATCAATCATACAGTTATTTTAAAATAAAAAAAATTACATATGGCAGGCCTTTTTTGTTAATGAGTGTAGAGCAGGTGGGCAAGATGGCTTTACTGGATTGGTGATTTCAGTGGAATTTGATTGCCCAGCAATTCAACATGAAAATCACAGCAGTGTCATGAGTGCCAATGGGGGCCATACAGCCCCCCCCCCCCAAAAAACTTTTTTATTTTTTAAGCAACGTCACAATAAAGGCAGGCACTGCATACACCACCATCTTTTCCTAGAAAAAAAAATTTGGTCAAAGTGGTCAGAAATTGCCTCAGATTGCATCAAAGATAATCTAGAACTAAAAAAACATTTCCGGACCCTTAATCTTTTGTGGGGACCCACATTGTTTTGGGTCTCCCCCCCAAAAATTGTGTTATGGATCCGCCCTTGATTTTGAATTCAGTGGCTAATATTAAGAGCCCGCAAAAAGTTGACTGCAGAAACCAACGCAGCAATTAAAAATAACAGAGTTGCTGTTGAAACCCCTCAGCAGTCAAGTTGTCATCCGTAAAACCATTAACCTTTAACTCAACATGGTGACCTTTGACCCCAGAGCCAATCCCAACATGCCTGTACCAATGGGCAACCCCCTACCGAAGTTAGACACCAAATTTCATTTCTAACTCAAGCTGTCATCCGGTAACCATTTACATTTAACTCACCCCGGTGACCTTGACCTTTGACCTTTTGATCCCAAAATTAATCCCAACTTGTCTACTCCTAAAGGCAACCCCTACCGAAGTTACAATTCCAAACAACATTTCTAACTCAAGTTATCATCCGGAAACTAAGCTGCCCGGACATCCCTGCCAGATGGACTTCTGGGGTACCTCCATTGTTGTCCCATTGTTCCTATTTAAGATTTCGTTGCGAGGTACCCTTTTTTCTAAAGATTTTATTTGCGGGGTACCTCGAACAAAGGACGGGTACCCCACAAGTGTTCCGTGGTAAGGGCGGATGGACAGACAGACATATGCACAGACATACGGACAGACGCCGTAGGCAATGACAATACCCCTCAAGCCGCTCAGCTGAGGGGTAAAAAATGCAACGTAAATGCCATATCTTACCAACACAGATGCTGAACACCTTGCTTGCCCGAGCACATGAAGTAGATAATGGCACAAGATCTTTAAATGTTATCGTCTCATCTACGGCAGTGAGCTCAGCAATGTCTCTGTCAATGAAATATAAACATATTAAATGCATAGAAAGATATGTTTTAATATTATTTAAATAAAACACAAGCCCTGTATAATAAAGCCAGTTCGGTTTTCCAATATAGTCTGGTGCACAGCAAGATTCAACAATTTTTTCGGGATAACTGGTGCAGATAAATGCACGCAAGGCTACTGGGGGCGTGGTTACCAAATCTGCATTTTGTGCAATTTTTCGTGCAGTCAAAAAAAGAGATGGATCTTTTGTTGGCACAAACGTTTTGACACACACGACACCTAAAAACACTTCGCTGTCCAAAGGTATTTTGCAAAATGTTATACTTCAGAACACAGTGATCTCTTCAATTCTACTGGTACCCTACTATGCTTTTGCAGGCATACAATGAAATATTTGAGCTTGGGTGCTGGATCATCTTTTCACAGACATCACAACGTACATATACACGCCCGTATAGTTTATGGTGCTTTTTGTTGGATTTTACCGTGATTCCTAAACCAAAGGAAATGTCAACCCATCGCCCTCGGGTTGTTCCACGGCCCCAGCCACCGTCTCGAGGCCCCCAGATGAGCCTCCACCATCTATGGATGTATTAGCCATGGCTACTAGAGATTAGAGACAAGGAAGGACTTAGCGGTCTAGGTGAAGTGTCGTCATGCCCGAAACCAACGACTGACTGCCATGCCTCAGCACCGCTATTTGCTGATGGCCATTCAACAAATTCATCCAAAGATAAGCGATTCTCACGTTACCAAGCAGTGTATAGAGCATCAAGAAACAAGTGGTTTTCGACACCCAATAAGCCAACTTACAAGGGGTTGCTGGTCGACAATCTTACAAGTCGTCTTCAAAACGAGGAAGAGCGGGGAGGCAGTTTAATGCTTCAGACAACACATCCTCAAAAAACTAACTGTGTATGATTTTCCAGTCAGTTCCCCAGCATCTTTTGCAAATCTATTTCTGGCAAGTCATCTTCAATGCTTTAAGCACCATTGGTTACTTGTCACAAATGACACATGGCATACAACATCATCATCTTCAAGACCCATGGATCATTGACACCATTTTAGGCTACCGCTTGAAATTTTTGTCAGAGCCTTTTCAGAGTAAAGTCCCCATTACACAAGCCCAATCTTGCCATCCCACAACTACTTTTTATGTAGAGGTGCAGAACATGCTTGAGAAAGGAGCAATAACTGTTGAACAACCACTCCAAGGTCAGTTTCTGTCTTCCCTTTCACAGTACCCAAGAAAAATGGAGATCTCCGTCCCGTCATCAACCTCTGACAGTTGAACCAGTTCATTCCATACGAAAACTTCAAAATGGAGAACATCACAGCAGTCAAACATTTGATAATTTCAAATGACTGGTTAATGACCATCGATCTCAAGGATGCTTATTTTACAGTGCTGATTCATCAGTCTCACAGAAAATTCCTCTGCTTCTGATGACATTTACCAGTTTTCATGCATGCCCTTTGGCCTGTGCAGTGCACCAAGAACATCTACCAAACTCCTGAAACCAGTTGCATTGGCCATTCCAGGAAAAAGTGATAGGTTGCGTCTTTTATCTGGACGACGGTCAGGGGGTTCGTGCAGACTTCAGATCTAACTATTCAGACAGATTAGATTAGATTAGATTAGATTAGATTGAACTTTATTATCCCTTGCGAGGGAAATTAAAATGGCCTTGACAAAGAACGGGTTATAAAACATACAATCATTAATTAAAAATATGTAAAAAGGCGATATAGTTACCACAAACATATAAATTCAGTAATGTAAAAGACAAACTACTACATATAATCTAATTGCGACAGTAACATTTTGCCTCTAAAGGGGTTCTTTGACATTGAAAATGTCTCCCTAATGACCGATGTCTCCCATTGTGCGAACAAATTACGATAACGTGTCTCCTTAATGGTACCATTATTACCCTGGATTGGACATTTGGGAGACATCTCCATAGACTTGTGCACAAAATTGTTCAAACTTACATGTGCCCTAACCCAATATTCCCTTGTCCTTTTCCCACGAATTTTGGTATGTTTACTAATTAGACAAGTAACAAATATAAACTAATTGCGACGATAAAATTGTGCCTCTAAAGGGGGGCTGTGACATTAGGGAGACATGAAAATGTCTCCCTAATGACTGATGTCTCCCATCGTGCGAAAAAATTATGATAACTCTTCTCCTTATGATAATAATAATAAGAAGAAGAATAATAATAATATTAATAATAACGAACTGTCAATGTATACAGATTGGCAATTTCCTCAGCTAACATCTTTGTAGATGGAGCACCAGTTGGACTACATCACTTAGTTAAACGTTTCTTCAAGGGAATGTGGCAATTGTGTTGACTCATTTCAAGTCTTTATCTGACAGTCAAAGATTATTTATCAGACAATTAACTCACAAATTAACTGTGCTTATTGCACTAGTTACAGCACTATAGTCACTGTTTGTCACTCACAGCAATCGATATCAATCCTATGTCCTATTCAGATAACAATTTTCATTTTTGGTTGATATAACTTTTAAATGTGTGTCAATTAACAAACCCTTCCACCATATGGAAATTGCTCGTTTTCAAGCTACCAGAAACCTTTGCCCAGTGTGCACTTTGCAGGAATACCTAAACAGGACTTCTCATATAGAAGGAATGGGAACTCTAGCACGACTCAGCTTCTGCCATCACACTCCACACCATACCATCTGGTAATGTGACATCCACAGTCTGTAGATGGTTAAAAGCTGTACTCAAAGAAGCTGGCCCTAATACTTCATATTTCAAGGCCCACTCAACCAGGGATGCGTCTAACTCAGCAGCTGCAAGTGTAGGGGTAACAACTCAAGATGATATATCTAGATGACACTTCTTTCATATGAAAACTGGTTTTTCATATCTGCATCTCAAAACAATCTCCCAAAGCTCATCAATTACACCTTCCCAATCGATAATGAGTATGTGTACCCATCCATTTCAGTGAGAAATCTAGGAGAAACATTCGATCCATCCATGACCATGTCCTCTCATGTTACATCCCTCTGTCAGGCAATCAATTTCAATTTATGCAACATCTCCAGAATTCGTCGCTTCATTGACAAGGAAAGCTGTACTCATGCGAAACACGGGGGTGATATCAGCTTTGGACTTTGAGATCGCATCCTGTGAAGAGATTAGTCAAATCATCAGCTCTTTAGCCAATAAATCATGCAGTCTCGACGTTATTCCAACCTGGTTTCTAAAGGCTGACACTGATTCATTTCTTCCGATTATTACCCATATAGTCAACACATCGATTTCTACAGGTACCTTTCCAGATTCGCTGAAACATGCTATTGTCACTCCAATCCTCAAAAAGCCGTCGTTTGACATCAACGAACTTGCCAACTATCGTCCGGTGTCGAACTTATCTTTTCTTTCGAAGGTCATTGAAAAGGTTATCGCTTCTCGCATTACGACAAACATGGATGATCACAATCTATGGGAACCGCAACAATCTGCATATAGATCTGGACACAGCACTGAAACTGCACTGCTCTCAATCAAAAATGATATCATGCTGATGATTGGTGACACCAAAGGCGTGTTTCTTGTCCTTCTCAATTTAAGTGCCGCCTTTGACACTGTGGACCTACAGATCCTTCTACGGATGCTCAGTAATTCCATTGGCCTGACAGGAAAGGCACTATCTTGGTTCCGAAGTTATCTTAGGAACAGATCTTGTAGCGTGTGTATTGACGGCACGTTTTCCCACCAAAAAACACTGGACTATGGGGTACCACAAGGCTCGGTATTAGGTCCGTTGGCATTCACCATCTATATAAAGCCGATTGGAGACATCAATCGTGAACATGGTCTTAGTTTCCATATATATGCGGACGACATTCAAATCTACTGCAGCTTCAACCCCAAGGATCCGGAAATGATCAAATCTGCTCTTACTAGACTGTCAACCTGCATTCAAGACTTGAAAGTATGGATGACACAAAACATGCTCAAATTGAACGATTCAAAGACTGATTTTCTGGTAGGGGCCTCAACACACACACTTCGCAATTTACCTCCCATTACTCTGAAAATAGGGGACAATATCATCAAGCCATCGCAATCCGTCCGCAATCTTGGAGTTCATTTTGATTCAACAATGTCAATGTCAACTCACGTTCTCAACCTCAACCGCAATATCCACTTCCAATTTCGCAACATCTCACGAATTCGCCGGTTCCTGGATTTTGAAACTTGTCACCACGTAATCCGTGCATTATTAGTTCTGTCCCGTCTGGATTATGGTAACTCTCTACTATATGGTATCGCTGAGTCAGGTCTGGATAAACTTCAACGACTACAAAACCATGCTGCACGCCTTTTATTTACCACTGGCAGGCGTGAATCGGCTTCTCGACTACTTAACCAACTTCACTGGCTTCCCATCCGGCAAAGAATTGAATTCAAGATAGCCCTTCTCACCTTCAAATGTCTCCATCACACAGCTCCTCAGTACCTTAACCGTCTCATCCAGCTCAACGTATTTGGCCAACCTGGCCTTCGTTCCAGTAACGATGGTACACTATTGTCGATGCAGAGATCCAAGAACACCTCCACTGACCGTGCCTTCGTTATTGCCGGCCCTAAGCTCTGGAATACCATACCCTCAAGCATCAGATCACAGGAGACTATTTCATTACTCAGAAAACACTTAAAAGCTCACCTGTTTCCAATTTCATGTTAATATGTCTGTTTCATTATCTTGTGTTGCTTTAGCGCCATGATCTAGATGGAATGGCGCTTTATAAATCCTGTTATTATTATTATTATTATTTATTATAAGACTGCAGCGTCTACAGAACAGGGCTGCTCGTATCATTCATTTTCCAAGTTCCTCGCCGACATCCCTCTACTCCACTATTGCAATCTCTTCACTGGCTTCTGATCGAACTCCCATACCTCTCAAACAGCATTTCATTCTTGAACTAACCTTCACGACCCGGATTGTGCTCTGCCACAGACACAACCCGGCTCGTGGTGCCTAGGGGCCAAAGGATGGTTGTGGAAAGGTCTTTCTCTATCATATATAGAGGGAGGCCTCGTGTCATATTTTCTATGGAGAGCGTTCGCTCCGACCCCCCACCCTGCAAAAAGGAAGCTGGGAAGGGCTGACGAATCAACACTCCGATTGGATAGATTTTGCGTGACCTGTGACCGGCAAGGCGTCACGGCAACGACCCTGCAAGGTTTAAAACGGCCGTTACGACCGAGTCATTTGTACAAAGGTACATGCTTTGTACAAAGGTCATGATAAATTACCCAGAATGCCATCCCCACTTTCTTCACAAGATTCTGTGAAGCTCATCTGCCCTTCCCAGCGCCCTGTTTGCAGGGCGAGGGTACGATCGAATGGGGAGCGCTGATAAAATCCTACAATCGGGCACACTATTAACTAAAAGTGTACACATGCACCCTTCTCATTTAGGGGGAGACCGTTCCCATGTACGTCAAATTCTTACATTTTGCTAGTGCCTTAAATTTGCTTGCCCCCCCCCCCCCCCCATTATACAGTACCCAGTTAAGCTAGGAATATATGTTTGTGTATAACCAGAATCCCGATTTACCAAAGTGCCCCTCTCGGGGACATAAATGTGCCCTCTCAAAGCAAATGTGGCCCCTCGAGATGAAAACAAAACTGGCCCTAAATTTGGGAAATTTTTCTTCAGTAAAATGGTTTTCCCAAAATGGTATAGAGAGTTCTGATATGAACGAGGAATATGAAAACCAAGCCCCCAAACCCTTACAATGCGTAGTTTGCATAATGGGCAGTTTTGAAAAGCCACCGTTGATTTTACGAAGGCCAAGTGTCCGGTGAAATAACGTGTCGGCATTTCAGCATGGGTGTGCCCCCGACCCCCCCCCCCCCCAAACCAAAAAAAATGCTGGATATGCTGCTGCACTAACGGAACATGCCTTTTACCTAGCAAGTGCCCCTTTTTGGTGATCCCCCCCCCCCCCAGTTTAAAAACCATTCCGCCGCTGCTGTTATGCGATGAAAATTTAATAAAACTAGGTCTGTGAAGCCATAGGCAGACAGCAGCATAATTTTCAATACTCACCTGACAACTTTCTGGTGATGAATTTTGATGGGTTGATCTTCCTCTGATGAGCTATTCTCTGGGGATTTATGTTTCTCTGGTATGCCTTCCAATTGCAAAGTAGGTACCGGTATTTCCATCCCCGTCTTGTCAAGTGGTGTAGTTGTCTCTTCTTCTATGCTCTGTCCTGTCAGGTGCCGCTTTTGCCTAAGAGAAGCAATAATAACTAGAGTTTGAAGGGACAAACACACGGTGTTGGGCTACAGGTTTGGCTTTTTCGCATAGTTGATTGTTGATTGTTGTTGTTGATTGTTGGTTGTTGATGTTGATTGTTGACTGAATTTGACGGTGGTTGTTCATGTTGATGTCGATTGTTGATTGTTGATAGTTGATTATTGTTATTAACAATTATTGATGTTGATTGTTGAGGATTGTTGATGTTGATTGTTGATGTTGATGTTGATTTTTGTTGTTGATTGTTGATGTTGATTGTTGATGTTGATTGTTGATGTTGATTATTGATGTTGCATGGTTATTGATGTTGATTGTCATGATTATTGATGTTAAATGTTGATAGTTGATGTTGATTGTTGATGTTGATGTTGATGTTGATTGTTGATTGTTGATGTTGATTGTCGATGTTGATGTCAATGTTTAGGGCGAAAAAAAAAAAAAAAAAAAAAAAAGAGGCTAATTAAAAAGGGTCAGGTGAGGATCTGCACGTTTATGCTGCTGTAGTGTAAACATATCAGGAAAAATCATTACAAAAACCAATTAAATAGCTCATATTAAAAGTAAAGGTCGCACGCCATTGGCGCAATACAAAATATTGCTGGCCATACACTCTTTACCCCAAGCCCCATGTTTTTAGAAAAAAAGCGCCCAATTTTAAAAAAGCGCCCGATTGGGCAATTTCACCAGCCCATTTTTTGAGTCTCACATGACGTCATCAAATTTCAAAAATATGCTTCTGTTAAGAAGTAATGTAAAAGTGTACAAAATACTGGTAAATACTTAAAATACATTGGTCCATCAAACAGCCGTTACATGTGGCTCAATAGTTAACATAAAACAGTCGTAAAACCAGACACTCAAGAGGCCAGCATGGGAAATTCCCTTTTGTACGCAATCATAGCACACTGTTTTTTTGGATTTCCCTTTTGTACGCAATCATACCCCTTTGCTGTACACACAATGAGCGTGGCATTAAATGAGCGTTTCAAGGCGTAGGCGTGTTCAACTTCAAATTTCAAGGGGGCTGCAGGGCTTCTTCTAATTAACTTATTGTAACGATCCAAACCTTGGGAAGTTTTAGACCTATTATTAAAGTGCCATTTAAAGCACAAAACTTATATTATATCTCTGACGGTTGATTTTTTAGCAATTTTCAAAGGAAAAAAGGTCTTTTCATTGTAAGTTCTGGTCCGATGACATAATCAATTTTTTTTTGCATACCGGTCTTGTCTGTATTAAGGTCATCATGTATATTAATTTTGAAGCGATTACCGCAAATTTCGCCACAGACATCAATTGAAAATGTGTTTTGGACATTTTTTAACCTGCCGCTAGAGGGCGCTCGAACACTTCACCGATCATTTTTTTTTAAAGGTCAACCCACCAACAGAGCTAACATCGTTGAAAGCAAGTTCATATCTTTTTCCACTTTCAAATTATTAGGCACTTCCAGTTTGACCTGATTTGACACGCACAAGATAAATTGAAGGTCATGTCTAATCATGTCGATTCCCGCAAAATTCTGACGGTTGATTTTATATTGATTTTCAAAGATTAAATTTAATAATCTTTCAAGTGACGTCACGTGACCCATGATCACGTCATGATGACCAAATTACAAAAAAAATTCATCTTCAATGAGTTGTGCATTCATGTATTGACAATTGAAGTTCATATCATTTTTCATGTTGACAAACAGTTCTGGAGAAGAATTTGCTGAGAAAAACCAAAATAAAAAAGTGAACTTTTACAATAACAATAAGTGTTGGCCTGAGCCCAACACCTAATTATTGCATAATGTTTAACCTGACGTAAGCTGTCTAAAAAGCCAATCGACAACAAACATGCAAACTCTAAATCCCTGAATCCCCAACCTTCTCTAAACTATAATTCATTTTATTGCATACAGAACAAAATGCATTATTCTCAGTAACCACACAGATGGGCTACCGCCCAAAGGCCTGGGGTCCTTGATTTGCATATGATCTAGGTACTTGCATAATCGGCTGACCAACGGACAGCATCCGCTGACCAATGGACAGCAGGGGGGCATAGCTAAGATTCCTGGTGCAGGACTTTGGGCGGCAAGCCTTCACTTTGGTTCAGCTGACCACAGAGTCAACATTGTTTTTCAGACTCCTTGTGGATTATACACTGGTGGAAATAAAATTCGGAACGGTCACTTGCTTTTTCGGATTGAGGTGGTCAGTGTTTTATACACTGGTGGAAATAAAATTCGGAACGCGCGCGGACACTTGCTTTTTCGGATTGAGGTGGTCAGTGTACTCCTTGTGGATTATACACTAGAGGAAATTACATTCGGAACGGTCACTTGCTTTTTTGGCTTGAGGTTGAAAGTGGTCACGCGACCGGGGCCTGCATATACTGGGAAAGATGCCGTGGCCAAAACGACAAGTGCGTCGCTCGCCCCTTCTTGGATCAACGCACTCCGACAACGGAGGAATTCAGCGGGGCCGGGGAGGTCAGTCTGCTCGGGGTAGGAAATCCCGTGCGGCAATAAGAGCCACCCGAGGCCGGCCTGCCACGGCCGGTGTCAATGTACAGCCTCCCCATCCAGAGGTCGTACAGGCCAGTGTTTGGCCGGCGCAGCAACAGCCAGCTGGTCACCAGGGGGTCGGCCATCACTATCAAGGGAGCGCCATGGGTCCGAGTCAGTTTCAGCCGGGAGACGGATACATTCAAGAGAACGCTCTCCGGGCCGGGGTTCAACGGGTTTCCCCTGCACAGTCCGAAACCATTTTGGGGCAATCTGCCGTGCACGCGCAAGCTGGAGGGCCACAACAAGGGCAGCCGGAGACCGGAGTCGTCGGACAACAACCTCAGGCGTCTGCGAGCGGCAAGGCTGGTGAGTGAAGTACATGTTCCAGTGCTAATTCACCATCTTGCCATGCAAATACGGTACAATTATCTGGTAATAGTAGCACTAAGCAGAATCACCCAAATGTTAGTCAGGATACATGTATACTACAGATACCAACAGTACAGTGTCTGTTACAATGCCCATCATTGGTTCAGTCATGCCAGGTCCGTGTACCGATTTGGCGGCAATTGATAGGCCCACCCCGATACCTTCCCTGCAGTCCGTCCCGCTTCCTAACACAGAACTAGATGGGTTGTCTCTGTTGGTCAAACAGCAGGCTTTTATAATAATGCTATCGATATTACAATGCTGTTATGCATTTTTTACACAACACTCAGGTATTCAAAAACCAAATAAGAAATTGTATAGTCCTACATGAACATTTTAACTAAGATGAAATTTGAGTATACAGTGTATATATATGCCGGTGAAGGACAAACCTAATTTGATAAACATTTTAAATTCTGAAGATATACCCGTTTTGCAACATATATTATATTTTGTGACATGGGATGTCTTTATTTTAAGCATATCTTCCAGTGCATGCTCCAAAGAAACTTTAACCCTGTCTTGATTTGAAGTCAAAAATTTACAAGCATACATATTTGGGAGAAATTTAAAATCTGAAGGCGGCACTGGAGCTTGCGCAGCGACCACTTTCTTTTTTTGGTTTTCATCACCGCCCACCCCGATTTTCACGCCTGCCCTGAGACAAATTTCTCACAAATCCTCGGGTAACTCCATCCCCCCCCCCCCCATGAACCTATTTTTTTTTTTTAAGTGACGTTGCAAAAAAGGCAGGTACTGTGTACACCACTATCTTTTCCTTAAAAAAATAATGGTCAAAGTGGTCGAAACCCACGCCGTCATTTTTTTTTGACCCCCTTTTTTTGTCTTTTGGATCTGCCCTTAAATGTGGGGAGTAAATGAGGGATTTAGTTGAGAAGACATGCAGTTCAGAAATGCAAAAGATACAACATAATAAAGCTTTGTTGGGAAGTGTAAATACCTGGGAAGATTGGTGTTGGAAGAGTGGCTGGTTTTAAAGATGAAATCTCAAGAAATTAACTATATTTAAAGCAGCCCCCCCCCCCCAAGAAATAAACTGGAACCACATGAAAATAATCAATATGGGCTAGGGCATGTAGAACAGTCTGTAAATTTGGCCGTTGGTCTGTGAAATTATTTAAGCATTATTTGCGGGAAAATAATGTTGAAATATTTAATTTAATATTTAAGGGTGTCAGGTCAGACAGAAGATCTGCTACTGGTAACCTATAAACCAGTACAACCTGTTTCAGGGTCGGGTCGTCGGCGACTAAACTGTCAACCCCACCAGCTTCCATAGAGCCTGGTGAGGAGGGTGGCTGGACACCCTGGTGGAACTAAAAACAAAATCCACCTTCAAAGGCATCGGCTTAGGAGAGCTAATGATAGCCATCCAGCAAATCTCTCCATCAATATCACTCCTCGCTACTGAACATGTCAGCGTTAGGGCGGAAGAAACCTTGGTGTTCAACGGCCATCATGTTCTGGGTAGGAGGCGAATCATAGGATATTGATGATTATCGGCTGCTAACCAACTGCCTAACAAGCAGATCACTTCACCTATTAGGCCATGTAGGGCCAATCACCCACATGAGTCCTCGAGAATAAGATCATTCTCACCAATCTTGATTACGAAAGTCACAAATGGAAGAATGGAAAATCGTGAGGGTAGACGACGGATGTCTCGGACTAGTTCCGACAGGATGACGAGGCAGGGGGAAACCTACTGGACCACTGTTTCTGATAGAAGCCGCCGAAAGCCCTTCAATGTATCTACTAAAGCATTTAACATCTCAACGTACAATGTGCGTCCTCCACCAAGCAGGCAAATTCCATCAGCTTACTACAGGATGCGAGGAATTCAACATCGGCATAGTAGCTGTCCAAGAACACAGGTGGTTGACTACAGACCCTGTAGCTTACCACTGGAGTGACAATAACAACTGGCTCTTCCTATACTCTTCAGCAAGTGAAAGAAGACAAGGAGGAGTGGGCATGCTGCTTAGGAAAGACATAGCAAAACACTTGCAGCATGCTGAAAAAA